AGAAAGAAAGAAAGAAAGAAAGAAAGAAAGAAAGAAAGAAAGAAAGAAAGAAAGAAAGAAAGAAAGAAAGAAAGGGAATATGGGATTAAATAGTATTTTGAAGTAAGTTGACAATGAGTTGACTTCCAATGCTATATACAATAGAGTAAGACTCCATATTTATATATACATATATATATATATATATATTAGTACATAAGTTTAAATGGTTTTTTTTAAATAGAAAGAACTTAGGAAGCATACCCATCATACATATGAAACACAAGTAGTAACAAAAAAATAAGTCTCGCATTTCGCATTGTGCTAAAGGACCATTCCCACCAAGGATGCACCGTAGAAGATCTACAAGATTAAACAAACACCATGTTGTTATGGAAGATGGACCACGCAAAAACTTAGATGGTAACCTCTGGTTTTCGTTCTTCAATCCCCATGGCTGGAAAAGATATCATCTGCTCAACAATTATTTGTCATTTCGTTCTCAAACTAATTCTCCCATCGTTCGCAACGGTTGTCGTTGTGTTTTCTTCAATTCTTAGGAAGTTGACCGCCCTTTAATTTTCTGTAAATTTTGGAAAATGTGAATTAATTCTGGTTTCTTGGGTGTCTTAGGAACTTCCTTCCTGTTGCATTTGATGTGCTGAGATCACGGTGTTGTTCACAGTCTGCAGATCTGAACATTTCCTAAATCTTCTCGACTTAATGTACTAAATGGTCACATAGCATCTGCACAGGGTTGTTATTATTTTGGGTTCCTTTTTTCTTTTCCTGGTTAAAAAAAAAAAGGTGGGTAATGGTTTACAAGGTTGAAGTTTTGATAGAAAAATGTCAGCCTAGAAAAGAGAGCAAGGAACAAAACAGCAAAACACACACAAAAAAGCACAGCAATACTCACAACCAAAAGTGTTGAATTGTTTTGGTTACCAGTCAAAACAACATTTGCATTGATAATCATCGAAAACGGGAGTAAGCATTTACACTAATAAAAGGTTACTCAAGAGTTTGTGTCCCGGTTTCTGTCAGTTCTTACATTCCTGGAAAATCCAAATTGCTCCTCAATTTATCATTCCAAGCCATAATGCTTTCATTGTCTTAGAAACAGGACGTTGAAAAACCACCTGTTTGCTTGATGTCTGTATTACTTCTTTAGTGTTTTTTTTTCCTTCTGTATTCCTTCCTTAGAGTAAGAAATTAGAATGTTAAGATGTGTTGGACTTCAATTCCCAGAATTCCCCAGCCAGCCTAGCTGGGGGAATTCTGAGAATTGAAGTCCACACATCTTAAGAGTGGCCAAGGTTAAAGAACACCGACTTAGAACCGTGGTTCTCAACGTTTTCTTCACCACACAACCCCTTTGAATACCATGGCCTCAGACCGTCACAGGTTCAAGTCATAACATTTCTTCGAGCTTTCATGGACTCTCTGTGATGACATTCGGGTTGAGAAGCACTGAGTATAAACGGCCTCTGCAACACAACATTTTTTTTTTCAGAATATATTTTACGGGGGGATATTTATGAGTGGTGATCTTTGGCTTTTGGGAGCCTCTCCTGTCAAAATGGGGCCCTCTTGCAAGATTTTCTTTGAACATGCCTCTTAAATGGTTGGGTGAGGAGCGAAGGACACCAAACAGCAGCTGGAGAGACTTGTATTCACAACTGCCAAAACCTGGCCGAGGAGAGAAGAGAAAATAAGAAATGATAATCTGATTTATGGGTGTGATATCGCACCCACAATGGTCTCTTTCTCTCTTGCCCCACCCTCAATTATTGATCTCGGGCATCTGCAGGGTTTTTGAATCCTACCCCTGGGCATCTGTTAAAAAACAAAAGCCAGATATTGCGGAACTGCATTTCCAAGCACCCTTCACCATTTCCATTCGGCTTGGGAACTTAAGCCTAGCAATCCCCAAGGTCTTCATCTCTTTTACAAGGTATTTCCTTCTGCTTTGGAGAATCTGTGTGTTGGCTGTGTGTAGGGAAGGTCAGGCCATCGACTGATTGGGTTCTACCAGGCTTCGTTCAATTTGTGAGTTTGGATGTTGTTGTTGTTTTTAATTGGCTTTAAACTTCTTCCTCTTATATTTATTCCTGTTAATCAGCCACCTACTGTATTTTAATTGCTTGATGCCTCTAGGTAGCAGAGAAACAGAATGGAGTCCAAGATAAACTATAAAGGGAACGCATTTAGAAAAACGGATTGTGCGTTTGGAGCAAGAAAGAATTTGATCGACTTCAAAACTCTCTGAACAGCCTCATTACATCCATTCATTTGCTAAACCATTATACCTCCTTGGCAATGTTGTCACTTCTACAGCAATAGAATGAGGACATTGCAAAAAGATATATATTGTAGTCTGGCTGTTTGGAAAAAAATAAATATTGAACATATAGCTTCTGAATTTTTCATAAAATTACAAAGAAAACATTTACAAAATATAGTTGGGTCAAACATAAATGGGAAGACAGAGAAGTTGAGTTTCCGTTGTTGCTTTCCCACCAACAAACGAAGAATGTTGATTTAATTCTCCTGCCTTTGAGTTGCTGGATAAACTGTCTATTAACCTAAAAAGCTAACATTTGAGGTCTCAAGGGTGCTTTTTTTCAAGAGGCAACTGGACTTTCTGGTTTTTCTTTGAAGGCGTTTCACTTCTCATCCAAGAAGATTCTTCAGCTCTGAGACCAGAAGAAGATTCTGAGAGAACTTGAAGAAGCATCTCGGATGAGAAGCGAAACCTCTTCAAAGAAAAACCAGAAAGTCCAGTTGCCTCTTGAAAAAAAAAAAAAGCACCTTTGGGCCAGCCATGACCTGGATGGCTGAGAATCTCCACAGAAATCTAACATTTCAGGGTTTGTGTGTATAGAGATGTGTACAGGTAGTAATGTTCATTTAGCGACCATTCAGAAAGGTTGGCAGTTCGGCGGTTTGAATCCCTAGCGCCGCGTCACGGAGTGAGCTCCCGTTCCTTGCCCCAGCTTCTGCCAACCTAGCAGTTTGAAAGCATGTAAAAAATGCAAGTAGAAAAATAGGGACCCCTTTGGTGGGAAGGGAACAACATTCCGTGAGCCTTTGGGTGTTTAGTCCTGCTGGCCACATGACCACGGAGACGTCTTCGGACGGTGCTGGCTCTTCGGCTTTGTAACGGAGAGGAGCGTGGCTCCCTAGAGCCGGAAACGACTAGCACACATATGTGTGAGCGGAACCTTTACCTTAATTTAATGAAAAGAAAGACCAGGATCTGTAAAAAGCACCATGAAGCAATATATAAGTCTTAAGAGCTACTGCAATTGTTATTGCTTTGATATGCAGGAAAAGAAAGGATGCTACTTCTCCATCCGAGACACTCAAGGATGTAATTTCCTGGTTTGTTTTGTTTTTATTTTTTTGGCTTCCACGCCGCATGCCCAGTTGGCTGTGAAATACCATGTGGGCAACTTGGGAATAGAAACCAAGCTTGACAAAAACAGTTGCAACACTGTCTCCTGACGCACACGCCTGGCACAGGGTAGAGTCAGATGGTGCAACTGAGCGTGTGGGAACATTGCTCAAATTTGCAAGGGTCAGCCAGTTCATCTGCCAGAAACAGAACTGCAGCAAACCTGGGTTTTTCTGGTGCCTCTTCCATTTCAACCCACCACTAAGTTTTAAAATCACATGCCTTAATTTTTGTTGTTGTTGTTTTTGGTCCAACCAGGGACATATGTCAACTCATCAAATATTTCTATGGTCTTTTTAGAGTTGCCAGCAGAAAGGGAAGGGGGGGGGAAGGGGTTTTGAAAGAGCAGTGCGGCAGCTTGGAAACCGAAAGTGCACTCCATAAATAGTTTTTCAAAGATGGTAACTAGGTGACTGAAGTTTCTGCCATGCAAAAATCTAACTGGAGAGCATGATTGATGGATTCTTGACTATGGACGTGTCCCATTGGAGCATATGAATTGAGATACACCCAGGGGGTGGGGGAAAATCAGGGTCAAGGGTGACAATGAATTATGTGTCTCGGAGTTGGCTGCACCCAGGCAGCGCCAGCAGGTTTACTCCCAATAAATCCTTTTAAAGTTTTGGAAGTTTGGTTTGAGACTCATGATTTAAATAGGGAAGCTGCCAGAATCCTAACAGCACATTTGATTTGTGAGATAACTTTATAGGCCACTAAATGAATGGTTATAAGTCAGGGACTTACATTGAAGCAGCTTTGTACAGGGAGTCCTCAAGTTACAGTTGAGCCCAAAATTGATGTTGCTAAGTGAAACATTCCATTACAGCCCTCAGCCCCAATAGGAATTGCCCAACAATCCCCTTCATTGCATCAGCCCAAACTTCAACCAAGCTTAGCTCAGACAAACATGAGCCCTACATGGCTCCATCTGACAACAGCCAATAGAATACATGTTCTTGCACAGGAACAGGAAGCTCAAGTGCAAAGCCCAAGAGAAGGTATAAATACCCCTTACTCTCAACTTCATGTGGTCAGCTGCACCAGAACCATGGGCTTAGTGGTTCTGTCCATCATTAAACCATCTTTCCAATCAGCCTCCATGTTTCCAGTGTCTTTCTACTGGCTTGGAATGGAACCAGGTGGAAATTTCTTCCAACACTTTCAAGGGATCTTCATGGGCTTTGCAGATTTCAGAATTGCCAGATTTACACAAGGATCTGTTCTG